TCCCAATTTCTCTTGGAGTAGCAACACCACTAAACCACCTGGTTTCCCAGCACCAGCTGGTGGTTTTCAGTAGAGGCAGCCTTTCCAGGCTCGACAGGGGCCAGCCCCACAGCAGCAGCCCTACCAGCCTAGGCAGGGGCAACCATTCCAGCAGCCCCAGCGTCAGTATGCCGAGCCAGCAGCAGCTCCGGCTCCAGATAATCAGATGACGGAGCTGAAAAACATTCTAGCGACATTCATGACTACCACCCAGGCAACTATCACGAGGTTGGACCAGAGCATAGCCTCATTGGAGGCAGGTCAGAGGAACCAAGGTGCCATTTTGCAGGATTTGCAGAACCAGATGGGTAGCATGGCTCGCCAAAACACTACCAGGGCACGAGGTTGGACCAGAGCATAGCCTCATTGGAGGCAGGTCAGAGGAACCAAGGTGCCATTTTGCAGGATTTGCAGAACCAGATGGGTAGCATGGCTCGCCAAAACACTACCAGGGCACCGGGAACTCTGCCTGCCACCACTATTCCGAATCCTCTTGAGCCTCACCAGCAGCAGCAAGATGAGCCACTACCTGCTTCAACACTTCCAGCTGATAATGCAGAAGTGGGGGGAGACAAAGAAGCACCTGCTCCCAAGCCACAGCCAGTGGTTAAGGAGCATGTACCTCAGCTTCCTTTCCCCACTCGCCTACATAAAGACAAGCTGGAGACTGAGTTTGCCAAGTTCATGGCAATGTTGAAGCAGGTCAACATCAGCATGCCGTTCGTGGAGGCACTGTCGAAGATGCCCAAGTATGCCAAGTTCATGAAGGACCTCCTCACCAACAAGAAGAAACTTGGGGATCTTTCGACAGTGATGCTGAGCGAGGAGTGTTCTGCTATCCTGCAGAACAAGCTGCTTGAGAAGCGCAAAGACCCAGGGAGTTTCACTATCCCTCTTGTTATTGGCAGCATGCTTGTAGGAAAGTCCTTGGCGGACATAGGTGCTAGCATAAATGTCATGCCCTACAATTTTTTAAAAAAGCTAGACCTAGGTGAACCTAGAGCTACTAGGATGAGCATTCAGTTAGCTGATTGTTCCATCGTGCATCCTAGGGGTATCATTGAGGATTTTCTTGTTAATGTGGGTGCATTCACATATCCTGTTGACTTTGTTTCCTGGATATAAATGAGGATGTGGATGTACCTTTGATTCTGGGTAGACCGTTTCTCGCCACCGCCAAGGTGCTTATTGATGTGCATAGTGGTTGCGTGCTGGTGATGAACATGCTACTTTTTCTCTGTCTGAGAATGGGAAACACTCCCATTTGCATGATGAAATAGATTACTATGATGTGCTTGCTGATTTTGAGACCGCACTCGCTATAACGAGTGCGGGTACTAACGATGCTCTTGAGCGTTGTATTTTGCTAGGTGAGCAGGAATCGCAGGAGCCGCAGCTGGCGGAGCAGTTGGCCGAACTGGAGAGTGGCACATCCTTGGAGGGTGACCGGCTGTTCAAACCGATCTCATCCTCACCCCGCATTACTACCTCCTTGGAGGAACCACCAGAGCTGGAGCTAAAGCCCCTCCCTCCTCACTTGGAGTATGCATTTCTCCAGGAGGGGAATAAGCTTCCAGTCATCATCAGCTCGACCCTCACACCCGAGCAGAAAGAAAGACTGGTGGCCTTGCTGAAACGGCACGAGCGTGCTCTAGCGTGGAAGATCACAGATATCCGGGGGATCAACCCCTCCTTCTGCTCCCACCGGATACTGATGGAGGATGAGATGCGGCCAGTGAGATAGTCGCAGAGAAGACTGACACCGAACCTGGAGGCTGTAGTTCGGGCATAGATCGTGAAGCTGCTGGACGCAGGGATCATCTTCGCCATTTCCGACAGCGAGTGGGTCAGTCCCACCCAGGTGGTACCCAAAAATGGTGGGATGACTATGGTGCCTAACGAGAAGAATGAGCTCATCCCAATGTGCACGGTGACTGGGTACCGTGTCCGCTTTGATTACCGGCGTCTCAACGATGCCACGCGGAAGGACCATTTCCCGCTGCCGTTCATTGACCAGATGCTGGAGAGACTGGCAGGGCACGAGTTCTACGATTTCCTGGATGGGATGTCCGGATACTTCCAGATACCCATTGCACCGGAGGAACAAGCGAAGACCACTTTCACCTGTCCCTTCGGCACATTTGCCTACCGGAGGATCCCGTTCGGGCTATGTAACGCCCCCGCCACTTTTCAGCGATGCATGCTCGCCATCTGTGACCGTCTGGTCGGCGAGATTATGGAGGTGTTTATGGACGACTTCTTGGTTTACGGAGACTCATTCTCTCACTATCTCCATAACCTGGAACTCGTCCTTAAACGGTGTGCAGAAACGAACCTCGCACTGAGTTGGGAGAAGTGCCACTTAATGGTTCGTGAAGGCATAGTTCTGGGGCATAAGATCTCCAAGATGGGGATTGAGGTAGATAGAGCAAAGATCGAGACTATTAGCAAGCTGCCTCCTCCTACATCTGTTAAGGGGATCCAGAGTTTTTTAGGCCATGTAGGGTTCTACAGGCGGTTCATCAAGGATTTTTCGAAGATTGCTCTGCCCCAGACTAAGCTTCTTGAGAAGGATGCCCCCTTCCAGTTCACTGATGCATGCACAGTGGCATTCACGACCTTGAAGGAGAAGCTCACTCAAGCTCCTATCATGGTTGTTCCTGACTGGTCCCTGCCATTTGAGCTGATGTGCGATGTTAGTGACTTTTGCTGTTGGAGCTATATTGGGGCAGAGGCGAGATCAGCACTTCCACCTATCTACTACGCCTCAAAGACCCTGAATGACGCCCAGGAGAACTACACCACCACCGAGAAGGAGCTGCTCGCGGTGGTGTTCGCCTTCGATAAATTTCATCCTTATCTGGTTTTGTCCCATATGACCGTGTATACAGATCACTCCGCGATTCGATACCTGATGAGCAAGACCGATGCCAAGCCTAGGCTCATACGATGGATCTTACTATTGCAGGAGTTTGACATTGAGATTTGGGACAAGAAGGGAGCAGAGAATGTTGCAGCCGATCACCTCTCCCGGTTGGACGCACCCCCTGCGGACAACCTCGAGGAGGAGATCAACGACTCCTTTCCAGATGAGAGACTGATGATGATGTGCCTGGCGGAGAGTGTCACCCCCTGGTATTCTGATTTTGCGAACTATCTGGTGGGCCAGCAGCTGCCCAAGGGGATGACAACCCACGCCAAGAGAAAAATTTTCTCCGACCTGAAGCACTACTTCTGGATGACCCTCATCTCTTCAGGATCGGAGCCGACGGGATAATCCGTCGCTGTGTTATGGAGAGTGAGATGGAGGGCATTCTATCTCACTGTCATGAAGGGCCTACTGGCGGTCATCATGGAGGAAACTGCACAGCGAGGAAGGTGCTATAGTCTGGCTTCTACTAGCCCACGCTCTTCAAGGACGCAGACACCTTCGCACGCAGGTGCGACCGATGCCAGAGGTCAGGTAACATCTCTACCCGTGATGAGATGCCCCAGAATGTGTTTATAACTTGTGAAATTTTTTTATGTCTGGGGTATCGACTTCATGGGCCCCTTCCCTCCATCTTTTGGTAATACCTATATCCTTGTTGCTGTTGACTACGTCTCTAGGTGGGCTGAGGCGCAACCTTTGCCCACTAATGATGCTAGACGTGTTTGTGGTTTTCTGAAGCAGCTATTATCCCGGTTCGGGACACCTAGAGCCATCATAAGCGATTGAGGCACCCATTTCCAGGGCCAGTTCGATAAGTTACTGTCTCGCTATGGTGTAACTCATAAGGTGTCCGTGGCCTACCACCCTCAAACAAGTGGCCAGGCCGAGCTGACGAACCGGGAGCTCAAGCGTATCCTGGAGAAGACGGTGGATCAATCCCGCAAGGATTGGTCCACCAAGCTCGATGATGCTCTATGGGCATACCGCACTGCCTACAAGACTCCCATTGGTACTTCACCGTACCGGCTTGTCTATGGAAAGGCCTGCTATTTGCCCGTGAAACTAGAGCACAAGGCCTTCTGGGCCCTTAAGCTGCTAAACTTGGATGTTAGTGTTGCAGGTGTTGAGCGCAAAATGCAGATGTTGGAGCTGGAGGAGTGGCGTTATCACGCCTATGAGAACACCAAGCTGTACAAGAAGCGCTCTAAGCGCCTGCATGACACACGGTTGCGAGGTCCGAAAAAGTTCCAGGTTGGTGATCGAGTTCTCCTTTATAACTCTCGCCTGAAGCTCTTTCCCGGAAAACTCCATTCCCGGCGGTCTGGACCGTACACGGTCACATAGGTGTTCCCGTATGGCACGGTTGAGATTGCCAACCCGCAGACTGAACCATTTAAAGTGAATGGCCATCGTCTCAAGCTCTACTTGGGAGGCGAGGTCGAACGTGCGGAGTTGGCAGTGGACTTCGCGGACCCTTAGCTCCTCCATGGGCGTCCATCTAAAAGACGGTAAAGAAGCGCTTGTGGGGAGGCAACCCCACCACGGTTTGCATTTCTACCCTTTGTCTTTTTCATTTTTGTCGGTTTTTGAGTCTTTGAGTCTGTCTGGAGTCTGTCTGGAAAGTATTTCGTGCCTCGGGCGGTTCGTTTTAATATGTGATTGGGTAATTTTTAGAGCCGGGGCACGAATGAGTCTTGGTGGTTTGAAATTGGAATTTTGAAAAAATGCAGATTGGGCTCGGCAGTGAAAACACGGGCGCCAGGGGAGGAAAACAAGGCCGTGTTTTCCCTCCTGCCCGCCCGTGTTTTCAAACTTTTCCAGCAGAGCTCTCGGCAATAAAAACACGGGCGCTGGGGGTTCGAAAACACGGTCGTGTTTTGAACCCAGCCCGCCCGTGTTTTCAAAGGGGGGAGCACACCCGCGACAGTAAAAACACGGGCGCGGAGCACGCCGAACACGGTCGTGTTCCAGCCCGCCCGTGTTTTAACCTCCCCCCTATAAAAGTCGATTTTCGGCCCCTCTCTCCCCCCAGAACCATTTTTTTTTCAAATTCCACCGCCCCCCCCCCCCCCCCCCCACCGGAATTTCGGGTTTCCCCTCTTCTCCTTCGATTTTTCGGCCATAACTCCCTCTCCCAACCTCCAAATCACAAACTGCGAACGCTCCCACGCTCCTGGCGTCGAGGAGCACAATTCCCAAAGGTTTGGGCTTGTTTGGACGAGGTTGTGTCGCCGGCGGCGAGTTCTCCGACGAGTCTCCGGTGTATTTTCCGGCGACTTGGGGTGTTTTCTTCCACTTTCTTCACCTCTCTTGCGGTATCAACTTGCGTCTCCAGGTGTGTTTTCATTGCCTTTTATTTTATTTTTGGAGGATCGATACCTATAGTTAGGTGAAGAATTTGTGATTGTGGCATGATTTGTGAATGATTTGATAGGCCGATGGCGCTCTTTGCTTGTTATATTTTTGTCTCGGGATTTCAGTTATTCGGCCTACCATTTGCATGTTGGCATTTGTGGTGGATCGATTGGTGCCTATTTGGTATGGATTTGGTGTTTGTTCCACCGGGGGCCTAGTCCACTGTCCAAATCGCTCGATTTGAGGGTCCCTGGTGTGTTTGGTTGTGATTCTCGTGTGATTGGTATGCTTGTTTCACCGGGAGCCTAGTCCACTGTCCATATCTTTCGATAAGGGCTCCCAGTGTGGTTTTGTCCTAACATTGACCCTGTTCGCTTGTGTGCCATTTGTACATCTTTGTGCTTTGCAGGATCATGGAAGACTACCTCGACCAATTGAGCATCACCCAATGCCATCTGCTGCGGACCATCCGTAACCGCACTATCTCCGAGCACCTGCATCTCGATTTTGTGGTGTTCGAGGCGCTTCATGCCAGGCCGCAGATGGAGGCAGCTGTTCACCCCTATGGTTGGCGGCGCCTTCTCTGCCTCGCCGAGCCGACCTACCAGGAGCTCGTCTGGGAGTTCTACGCATCCTTCCGCCACTCCCCGAAGGGGTCAGCCGACCATTCTGATGCGGTTCATTTCACGCTCGGCGGGGTGGAGCACTCCGTCAGCTACTCGGAGTTGGCCTCTGCATTTCGGCTCAACTCCCCGCACCCCAGCGACCGGCCCCTGTACGTGGACATCACTGATCCCACCGACTTTGCTTCCCACGCCTACTTCCAGCGCATTTGCCTGCCGAACCATGTGGATGTGCAGTACATTGCCAGCCAGACGTGGGCCACTCTCCTCCGTCCGGTGTGGCGCATCCTCAACCATTTGCTCACCCAGTCCTACACCCCCAGCCGAGGCTCGTCCAACCGGGTCACACTCCAGACACTTTTCTTCATGCATCCTCAACCATTTCACACCCGCCTTGATCGTGAGCGGGACCGCGAGCGACGTCTTATGTCCGGCCAGCACTACATCATGTCATACATGGGCTTGGACCCGAACGCAGTCCACTACCGCTTCGTGCAGTCCCCGGGGTATGAGGACGAGTACCCTCCACCCACCGAAGATGGTGGTGATGCATTCTAGTGGGGAGTGGCTGGTTTTGCACCTCATTTGTTTTCCAGACTGAGACTCTATGTTTTTGTTGTTTCGTTTTGTTTTTTATTTTATTTTGGATTGTAGACTTTGAACTCCGGTTCTTTCACCCAGTGTGTGTCTTTTGTTGACTTTAGCTCCGTGCCTTGGACTGGTTCCCCTTTCAGTCCCCTGCTCTTGACTGGTCTGCCTCCCAGTCCCCGTTCCTGATCTCATTTCCTGGTAACTTCGTTCCCCTTCCATCTGCTCCATTGAGGACACTGTCGCATTTAAGTGTGTGTGTGTGTGGGGGGGGGGGGGGGGGGGGGGTTCTTTGTATTAATTGGAACGTATATATGTGTGCTTGGAGCTTAGTCCGCTGTCCAAATCTCGAGATTTGAGGGCTCCAAGCACTACTGTTTGCTTGATATTTGATCGTATTGGCACTGTGGATAAGATTAGTGAATTGAATGGCTTTTGACTTAATGCATGACAACTTGAGTGTGACTAAGACAACTTATTATGATGACTGAGATGTGCAGTAGAACTGTGTAGGGGTTCAGTTTTTCAACTGTTTGCTTACCAACTGTGACTTGGATTGATCACTTGCTTTTGACAGTCATTTATGCATCTAGTTCAGGGAATCAGAATGAGAGATAGAGCATATAGGTAGCCATGTGAGACTTGAGCCTGCTCGTTTCTTTCTTGTGCGATAGTTCCCTCTTCCATGATATGCAGCATTCACGTTGTCATTAGCTAAGATGATGGAGGCGTAGGATTAACCCACGACCAAATTGACTGCCCTGATGTGTCACACCCCCTAGTCAGCCCTTTGAGCCGTGTGTTATCCTTTCTTTCGGTCTTATGGAAAACCCCCCTTTGCATCTTTTAGAAGGTTCCACAGAGTGGTTTCTCCATGTTCTATGCTGTTTCTGCTTAATATAATGTGAGAGTTGGAGGTAGTTCTTGAAAAAAATGAAAAGGGCATGTGTTTGCAAAAATGTGCATAGGTGGTGGTTCTCTCAAGAAATGAAAAAAAAAAAGAAGTGAATGAAAGCAAAAGAGAGCCACCACCACAAAATCTGAATAGCGCCCATTGAGTAGTGTTTCTTAGCAGTGTGGTTTGGAAATACTACGTTTTTTTGTTACCTCCTTCGCTCTTGTGTTTTAAAGAAAATGAGTAATGCAGAATGGCAGAAAGAAAGAGTGGTTTGATTGACTGTGAGTGTGTTGGGTTTGGAATTGTGGAACCTTGTGCTATGAATACTTTCACCACCTAAAAGGCCTTTTCCCCATGTCGAAGACCCTAGCCAATCATCTGAACCTGTGTATAAGACCTCCAGATTAGTTAGTAGTGACACCTCATATGTGAACTCTAGCATTTAGAGGCTGCCTTCATGGTGAAGAGACGTTAGGGATTGAGAGAATAAGCATGCGCTTTTTTCGCATCAAATTGTCTTGACCCCACTGGTCGAGAGTGAGCGATTCATTTTCTCATATTCTCTATACTCTTTATCCCGGTGAGGACCAAGATTGCTCGGTCTTAATTCTGATATCTTGAGCTTTGTGCATGAAGTGACTGTCTGGAATGAGTGGTTGAGTCAAGTCTATGTTGGTTGGTGAACAGAAGGGAACTCTTCCTTTGCTCGACTTTACTGCATTCGAATGTCATCTGTGGTGGTTGTCTAGGTTGTCGTTGGAGTTGCCCATGTGTTAATGATCGAAAGCCAGTATGATCCACGTGTTTTGTGCCGATATGATATGCCCTAAAGCCTGCTTGATTGAAATGTTTTGAGCTTACCTTGTGTCTGACTTGGTTTGCTTGGGGACAAGCAAACGGTTAAGTGTGGGGGAATTTGATAACGATGTAATTGCACATGTTTGCACCCCTAGTTCTTATCCATTGGTGGGGCATAGTCGAGTATTTTTGGCCTATTTTACGCCGGGTTGTGCTACTTTGTCATATTTCAGGTCCCAGACGTCGAAGGAAAGGCTAAGAACGAGTTTCGGGGCATTCAGAAGTCATTCGGTCGAGTTGGAGCCAAAGCACGGGCGCGCCTAAATCAAAGCACGGCCGTGTTCCTGGACCGTGTTTTTACTGCCGAGGCTTGATCCAAGTTTGTCCTGTGCTGGCCAAAACACGGGCGGGGCTGACCCAAAACACGACCGTGTCCAACATTAGGCACGACCGTGTTTTCCCCAAAATCTGGCCGTGTTTTTAACATGTGGTAAGGGCACAGGCGGGCTGGAGCAAAGCACGGCCGTGCCCTCGACCGTGTTTTGCCCAGTGATGCCCTTTTAGGCAGATTTCAGCCAAAAGAGAAGGGGATCCGAGTTTTAGAGAGAGAGCGATTCCTAGAGAGAGAAAGGGACGAACAAGAGTTCCCAAGTGCCCTAGCTTGATCTTCATGACCATTGGAGCCCGACTTGAGCTTGGAGAAGTGCCGATCGACAACCAGGAGCAGAAATCCATCCTTCACAGTATGGTTTCCGGATCTGAATATGCTTTTGCTTCTTTCTCCATGGAGTAGTTCTCCCATTCATCTGGGTATGGAGAACCCTATATTTGTATGTTAGGTCTGATTGTGTGAACCCAAGTACAGATTTTATGATTTGATTATATTCAATTGAGGTTTGAATGATTGAATTGCATGAATCCTGATCAAATTCCTGTTGTTTCTGCTTTAACCTAGAAAGAGAATATCTGCCTAGGTTGATAGAGCACCCTTAATTGAAGGTAGTGAATTGGCGACTTTAGTCGAGGAGCCAATTCACTATATTGTACCGAATTTACTTCGGTAGTGGAGGTTTTGTTCGGTAGGGCCTCAATCTGTTTACTCTGGTGGAGTTTAGTCACCCGCTGAAGACTCAGATTGAGAGGGTCTGGAGACCTTTAGTCGAGACTTCAGACTATTAAGAACCTTCCACAGTATAACTATCATAGAAATTGACCTTGGTAAATTGCAATCTGGCTTAGCTGCAGTCTAAGGGGAACCATATCCGGGTGACCTCTCTCGACTTGATAACAACCGTTTAATTTCTTGCTTTACTTGTTTGCTTGTTTGAACCTGCACTAAAGTTTCACCGCTAGATAATAAGAATTCACTGAGTAGTCATCACATCTAGGACCCGGGTTGACATTAAAACCCAAACCCGCTATACTACGCTGTAGGAAGTGGTTTCGCTTGGCCATTTTCTAGAGTGACAGTAGGAGTGAGTCATCCAATCATCTGAAAATTCCAAAAGTTAGATCATCTCACGGGCAAAGACAAATTAGCAATTCCAAATAAAAATAAACAAACTAGCAATTCCAAATAAAAATAAAGTACAAGGATAACAATCTAGAAATGCCACACTCCACTACGGAGTCTTTCCGACTAACTGGTCATACAACTCGTGAACCACACTCATCATATCGTAGTACTCAGATGCATGCTCCACATAGTGATCCTTGTCCCTCACCACCAACACAGGACCAAGCTTCTCCACAATCTGCTTCCTCAACTGTAAATACAAAAATAATGTCATGAATGGAAAAAAGCATATTAACAATATATTAAAAATTGAACAATTATGACATAACTAACCTCATCAACTAGCACTGGCCGCTGTAGAGACACTCCACCAGAGTCCGGATTGATGATCCGTGGGTGCAATCGAGTCTGGTACCAGTCCATGTAATTCTCATCGACCTCAGATGGATACTCGCACAAGTCAGAATCAATCGCTATGTGTAGAAAATGAGACGGCAAGTTTCCCCATATCTGATCCATGCTACCCTCCCAGAAAACGATGTAGGTGCTGCAAGAAGCTGGGCAGTACACATCCTTGGGAACCATCATCGTACGGGGGATAGTCTGTCGGTACCCAAACTGTTGGCGACACCGTGGCGTGCATGATCATAACCCCCAGCAACGTCAGCAAAGCGAATGATACCAGTATACAAAGAGCGTAGTACCTACGTGCCAGCATCTCGCCCGTAAGGAGTCGAAGACACATCCTCCCCTGACATCTCATCCAACATCTTTCGATACCGTACCAAGCGCTGTCTAGCATCATCACCACCTGCAAAGCGTTGACACACCCACGAGGAAGCACGAGGAGCATTTGGAGCCTGGAGAGATAGGCGAGTGCAGCAGCTCCCCAGGCATAACCGGCCACTCGTCGCTGGTCCTTCAGAAATACATTGATCGCAGGACGGAGGCGATCGCGACTCTTATCCACAAAAAGTGTGGATCCCAACAACACAAACAAGTAACACTGCACCTCCAGGTCCCTAATCTTCATTTCTCATCCACGCATCAACAATCCCTCTGGGTGTATACCACCATTAAGGAACCACTTCGACTTCCACTTACCACCAACAGGACCATCCACCGGGACCCGAACTAGATCATGCATGTCTAACTTAAGAACATTTGGATGCGGATCATCTCTCATCAGCTCCCCCTCAACTAGAATACGAAGAATGTGATGCACGTCGTGGAGAAGAATTGACATCTCTCCAAATGGCATGTGGAAGGTGTTCGTGTCCGGCTGCCATCTCTCCACAAATGCCGTTATCAAAGCTGTATCTAAATGCTGCATCATACACCCTGCCAAATGGGACAATCCTTTGCCCTCAACCACCTTCTGAGAACCCTCTGAACTCCACTCATATCTCCTCAAAGACTCCACACTACCAGATCTATGACAACAATCCAACAACCACGATCCTGCGCAGGGGAAGTCCACAATGCAAAGGCAATGTGGCCTCCAAAGCTAGGGATCACATCGGGAATCACATGTCCACCTGAACACAGTTGAGACTCCGATGTCAGACGCCACGACATGTCCCCCCTTACTCCCTTCTTCCTTTTCTTACCATCACCGTCTTCCTCACTACTACGTCTCGCAACGTAGCGTCCATCTAGCCCACGCTGTGGAAAGTGCGAAGAAGCTGTAGAAGATGTCCCAACTCGTGTCTTCTTGCCGATGCCTACATCAGATTCAGGTGGGACAGGCCCAACCTCATCAACAGCCACATCATCATCATCGTCGTCGTCCATAGAAACTGAATCACTCCAATTAGCCTCCCACGGCGTAGCATCCTCAAGAGTAGGGGTGGAGGTAGTACCTCGACTAAGAGATAACTGTCCCATAGTAGGGCGACCGTCGAGACGCCCTATTTCCGCCTTCTTCTTCTTCCCCTTAACCTTACGTGGAATTTTTTCTTCATTTTCTTTTCTACCGGTCGCTGTAAGTCTATAAGCACGACCTTCCATTCTTCCTTCAGTTTTTTCTTCCATTCTTTTCTTATTCATGTACGGTTTGCCTATTCCATGTCCAGACATCTTAAAAAAAAAAAAAAAAGAAGAAGAATTACAATTAATGATAATCAAATGCATAAACATTTTCTGATAATTTTCTCTAATTTTTTTGTAATTTTTTGATAATTTATTAACATTAATTACAACTTTATTAGTCATTTTTTCTAATTTCGGCTACTATTTAATTTTACCATTATTTCTAATATTTTTTAAAATTAATTACAAATTTACAGATTATATTTCTAAATTTTGATACTTTTTAAAAATTCCAAATAATTTTTAACAACTTTTTTAAATTATTCACAATATTTTTTTCATAATTGAATTCATAAAATTATTCGAATATAATTTTTATAATTAATTATAAACTGTACAACTTACTTATAATTAACTACAATTTATTTCTAATTATTTCTTAATGTAGAATATTTAATAACAATTTTTATTAATTAATTGCATTAAAATTATTTAAAAATCAAACCAACCGAAAATTGACCAAGGTTTGACCATGGCTCAACCGAAAGTTGACTTCGGTTTGAACGAAGGCCAACCGAACGTTGACCTTGATTTGACCGAAGGCCAACCAAACGTTGACCTCGATTTGACCGAGGGCCAACCAAACGGCGACTTCGGTCGTTGAAGGGAGGGGATATGCTTACCTTCTCCGACGAGGACTGACAGCGCGGTTGGCGACGACGGCGACTGCTGGCGCGGTTGGCGACGACGCTGCGGACTGACGGCGCGGTTGGGAGGAGGGGCTGACGGCGACGACGAGTGGAGGCGCGGCGGACGTCGACTGCTAGCGCGGTTGGCGACGACGCTGCGGACTGACGGCGCGGCTGACGGGACTGGAGGCGTTGCCGGAGTGGCGGCGTGGGGCAGCGGGTCGAACGCAGGCGGCGTGGGGTAGTGGGTGCGTCGACGTCTTTGCTGCCTGCGGTGTGGGTTTGGCACAGAATGTCGGGAGAGGAAGTGGGAAGGGGTTGTTGGTTTAGGGTTTGTATTTGAATTTTAAAAAGGGTAATTCAGTAATTTACGTATTAAGTTAGGACGACGGTTAGGAATTTTTAGGACGACCTTTAACCATTCAGATTTTTTACATATCTATATGAAGACTTTAAGTCTTCTAAAGAGAA